AGTTAGCTTTAGTTTAGTCACAGCAGGTTAGAGGCCTCACCAGTATACCTGTTTCCAGAATTAGTGCACAAATGTTAGCAGTGGGCTACAGGTAATCCAGTGAGCCGGACAGGGATGACTCCGAGTCTAGAAGCTGCTGGTTAATGGCATTAATGAAGGTTACAGGGTTAGTCATCCAGGCATTAAATACTGAAAGATCCTGCTCTTGAGGTAGTCCAAAATGTTTGGAATTTTACAAGGAAGGGCAGTGGGTCCTTTCATTAGCACAAGGCTAACAGTCTCCCACTGGTCTCTCCCTCCAGGAGAGCTGCTTAAGCAAATGAATGATTCAGGGTTGAGCTCAAGAGGGCAACTTAACAAATAATGAGATCTATTACTCAACTCTCTGTACTGTCTATGTGTGTGGTTTGAGGTGTGTCAGGTTACATTTTGGGGGGTAACTGACACCTGGCTGCCGGTAGAAGCCGGAATGTGACTGGTCAAGAGATCTATGTGTGTATGTGTGTGTACTTTTTTCACTTTAATATTACAACACTACTGCAACTCTGAGTTTGTTCCTTTTAATCAAACACTGCTTTGGTGAAATGACAAAGGCTTTGATGATACTTAGGTGAACTTTTTACACGCTTGTTGTCCCAGCGTCTACAATTATGGTACATTTCTTAACTTAACCTTTAAACAGTACTGTATGCGTCTAACTAAGTATGTGTGTACCTGAATGTATCCGTCACGTGCGGGGTGCATGGTGATATTTCCTTGGTTTGGTAGCAGATTTACTTGGTAATGATCCACACACCCTGCTGCCTGTTCCCAACGCAACGAGAAGGCACATGCAGATAGGTTTGTGATATGTAATCCTTGCACAGGGGCTGGCACTCAAGAAGAACATGAAAGGGAAAAACAATGTTAGCAGAGAGTTTCTAACATTTATGAAGACATGATCAAGGCTGGTGATAAGAACGGGGTGGAGGTGCTGACCAGCATCATTTGTGATATCATTTACCTGTAGTTACAGTCAGAAACGCAGAGCGCCCTGCTGTCACTCCTTTCACTCTTTCAACAGTCACGTTGTAGCTGCAGCCACCCAGCAACCCTGTAACCACAGCAACCTGCTTCTCCTTGGGTATGGTGAGTGTGGACGTGACTAAAGTGTTGGTCACAGTCACTCGGTGGAAGTCAAACTCTCCATGTGTACTGTCCCAGCTCACAGACGCAGAAGAAGAGGTCAGGTGATCTAAATAGAGATGGTGTATTCCTGCTGGGCCTGAAACACAATTTAGAATTTTTGCCTCTTGTTTTGGAAAGTGCTCTTGTTTCGGTGCGTCTCTGTTTCTAGATGCTTTTGCGTCACTCACGTGTGCTGAACCTTTTGTAGACCGCATGACTGGAGTCTGAGCCCAGTACGCTCTGAACGCTAACCCCATAATCTGATCCGGGGATCAGATCCTTCACCTCACAACTTGTGCCTTGGACAAGCACCTCGGTCCATGACTTCCTGTCTACAGACAGCAGGCCAAAAAGAAGCTGAGAAAAAAAACAAAACAACTAATATAACAGATTATATTTCTGTCTATTTTTATTCAACATTTTAAATATTGCTCATATTTTCTGCTTTAAATAATAACTCAGTGAGCACTTTTGTTGTGTGTCGGCAATGTGCTTGGTCATTCTTCCTGGATGTAGCTCTGTGGAGGTCATATTTCTCTGAAGTAACCAAATCCGTGGCGTGCCAACAGCAGTTGCTTAGTAACAACAGGTGAGTGTAGAACCTGACCCAGGTGATGTACTTTTATCTATCAATCATATTAATCAATATTTTGGGGGTATGAATCAGTATACCAATATACCATGGCATCTCGTACTGCCTCTACCTCTGGACTTGTGCATTGCTGTGCATGTCTTACCTTGTACTGCATCACCTGTCCTGGTGGCGGTCTCCAGGTGACAGACACAGACGTCACTGCGTTTTCTGAAAGAGTCACTTCCTGTGGCACCTCAGGAACTTGAGACAAGGTGCTTGTTAGCATTTGACACCACATACTCACACCTAAAAAGTTAAACTTTCTGTGTTCTTTACTGGTTCAGTTCATTATAAACCAGCAGGGGGCGACACTGGATACGACCGAGCACCAGTGGTGGAGGGTGTATTGAGACTCTAGTGCAAGTAGCAATACTGCAGTATAAAAACAGTCTTTTAAAAGTAAAAGTCATGCATTTGAACACAAGGCAATCAAAAGATGGGCTAAATTTACCAAAAGTATCAATTACTTTAATGTTTACTGTAGCTAATAAGCATTATAATGGTTAATTATTACAGACTGGTGATTAAAAATTAGCACTATGTATAAAAATGTCTGTAATTCCAAAACAATTAATGTAGTGCTTTTGTTAAACCTCTTGAATGAAAGCTCAGAATCTGTACTTCAATCACATCTTGTCTTTATTTATAATCCACTTTAATGGTATACAGAGACAAAGCTACAAAAAAATGTATCTTTGTCCAACAAATTATGGACCTAATTCTATATGCAACATAACTGATTATAGTATTACATTATTAAATATATTTTCTGTACTTTTTTGGATATTTTTATTGGTTTAAGTTCCTTGTTCCATTGCTTAGTATATATTTTTTTACCTTTCCAATATATTTTGTTTTGTATGAATTTATTTTACTTTAATGAGCTAAATCATTTTTGATGCATTGGTTGCTGTAACACAGCGATTTCAAAATGTTTAATTTTTACACAGTTTTACCCAAATTTGCTGTAGAAATGCTGTTATTGTCGTGTGGCTTTGTGATTATTCTGAGTTGCTGTTTTCTGTTGTATTCAGTTTTGATTTTGCGGTTGTTTTAGTAATTTCGAGTTTTTGTGACATTATTAAGTTTATGTTTCCTGCTTCTGCTTTAGGGTTGTTCTAATGATGAATTAGATTGTTGTGATAACGTTTTGTTAAACTGAAAATTAACTAACTGAAATTGAGTTTCAGCTCTGGCCCCAGATGTCAGCCTAATGCATACCTTAATCAAGGCATGTAATAACAACATGTGCCAGAACATGCAAAACAGTGCAAAAATAACAGACGAAACTCTGTTCAGACAGTGAACGGATTGATTCTTATATAATGCTTTTCTAGTCTCCCAGATTACTCAAAGTGGTCTATCCAACATGCCACATTCACCCTATCACACACACTCTTCTTAACTGAGTGCTTTCTAACTACACTGATACACATTCACACTCTTGACATGCAAACTAGAGAAACCAGGGATCGAACCACTAACCTTCCGATCAGTAGGTGACCCACTCTACCTCCTGAGCTACAGCCACCCACTGGCAGAGATGACTAAACCGTTACTAGGTTTTGGATAAAGTGTACACTCACAAACCTGTCAAACCTGCATTTGAAACATTGGCTACCATAGCAGTATAGTATTGCAACATGGCATTTGGGTCTTCTAACTAAAATAGGAACATAAATAGTTCCATTATTTCCAGATCTGGCCCACATCTGGTTGACATACACTCTGCCATGAAACCAGACAGTCAGAAGTGCCAGCTTGCCAGATCCAGGCCAGACCTGTTTTCTATGGGCCTGGGCCACATAAACCAAACCACAATCGAGCCAGATATGGCATGCCATCACGTAGACTGCCATCTATGTCAGGCCTGGCCCATATCTGGATGACATATGTCTTATCATGCCAGAAGTCCGCCAGCAGTGCCGGCTTGATACCAGATCTGGTCCGGGCCTGCTTGCTATGTGGGTTTAGTTTCTGTGTTTACGCCTTTATGTTAGTCTGAGTCTTGTTGTCTCCATCTCTTTTGGATTGTTTCCTGCTTTACTTTGATAGTTGGTTTTCTATGGTGTCTTGTTTTGTGTTTTACTTCCAGTCTGACTGTCTTGATTACTTGCCTGTGCTTCATTCCTCTTCCATCGGCGATGCCCTCTTAGTCTTCAGTGTAAATATAGTCCGGCCTTCTGCTCTGTTTGGCTGTCTATTGTGTGTTTTGCTGTTTTTATAGACTCTGATGATCAGTTTTTAGATAAAGTTCACTCTTGATTTTACTCTGTCTGCATTCAGGTCTACCTTTGAAGTGAACCTTAACAAATGCAGATAGAAGTAATTTTGCTTCTCTTCTTTATCTAATGCGTGCTATTTTTGAATACATTTGAATTTATTTGCGCTCATCTATTTTGTACTTCATCAACATTATTCGATTGAACACTTACTAGTACAGAGGGTCATAGTAGCAGGTTTACTTCTTCTGTCCCCACTGATGGTAATAACTTCAACTGTGTACTGGCTTCCAGAAGCGAGGCACTTGAAGCAGAATAATCTGTGTACACACACTCAGCTTTAGCACTCGGTGTTTTTAAGTAGTTTCGATCTGATGATTGAAACGCCAGGCTCATAAACCCGCAGTAATTTGTGTACTGGCTGAGAAGAACAGAGACTGACCTGGGCTCCTGATAAGATGTGATCCGCTCCTGAGTGCTTGTTCTGTTTTTGATCGACAGGATGAGTGTAGTCACCAATCCCCTCAACATACTCCAACTAATGCATATGGATGATGTGGTTTTATTGACAAGAGAGACCTCCACTGGGCTGGAAGCTGGCACAGCAGAAAGTGATAGTTATTAGGAAAGAGAGACAGAGACGTGCTTGTACTTGTGTGTCTGTATTTACCTGCAGTGATATTAATCGTAACTGGTGAACTGTCAGTAAAGGACTGCTTCTCTGTCCGTACTTCGAATCGGTAAAGCGAGCCTGGAGTAAGACCTGAAAATACTGCACTCTGACTCAACACCTTCTGCACCTGCAGCACACAAATCAGATAACCAGCAAAGCTGACCAAGACCCTTATTATAATTGTATATATTTATACTGAATACATTAAAAACATGCCAATTATTGTTTACCATAAGTCTCCCCTGAAGCTACTTCTGATTAGTGAAACACTTGAGGAAATTTATTTCAGTGGGTGTGAAAACTTCTGATTTAATTATCAAACCAGACACTGAAAAGTTGTCGGGGAAATCAAATAAAGGCTTCTGTTGATATGCTTCCTAAACAGGTGAATTTTTGGGAGCTTTTTTAGTTGTTGTATTTCTACCTTCTGTGAGCTTTCACAGTTGAGACAGATGACCTCGTAGCTGTGATCCTGGCCTGGTGCAGGATCCCAAAGCAGCTCAATGGATGTATCTGTCACCTGACCCTCCCTTACTCTGCTAGGAGGAGCCAGACCTAAAGTTACAAAGCATATATCACATCCCATTAAGTGTAACGATTATTAAAAGTTCTAATAATTTATGCAAACAATGTTTTAGAAACAGATTTAAAGATTTTATTCATTTAGAAAATCCAAACTCCACAGAAAATTTGTGTTATAGTTTGATATGAAGTTTCAAACAAAGGGATCAAAATACAGTATCTATCATACAGTTCTGAGCACGGCCTCTGTGATCTGTGATGCATCTTTTTAAAACATTAAATGTTATCACTAAAAATCTAAAAAAAAAAAGAGAGAGAAACAGTGAAGTCGTGCCAAGATTAGGATGGATTACATTTGAAATTGAATTACTGCTATCTCCATGACATGATGAAGATGCACAATCTGCTTTTAAGTGAAGCCAAATGAGCAGCGCAAAAGAAAATAAGCCCTCTCCAGATTACGGTAACGCAACCACCATCCACAAACAGTAAACAAGAAAAGAGATTGGGGAATACATCTGCTACCGCCTCAGGAATACTTAGATGGCTAACCTCTATCATGGGCCATTCAACAATTTGTTACAGAGCGAGGATACACAGCAAGTAGTAGCTTGACTTTTTTTGCACGACTCTCTTCATACAATCCATCTGTAAGAATTAGGACAGTTACAATAAATGAATAGAAATAGTGTTCAGAATATCGGCAGTCATACATTATTTTTGTTTTCTTGCGTTTCTGATGTGTAATGTGGCTTTTCTGTCATTTGGGTTGAACAGCAGTTTGCCTCTTCTGTTTCGGCGGGTCTTATGATGAGGTCTTCTCTTAACCTTTGACAAAGGTATTTGAGAGCATTTGTGATGTTTTGTACAGACATAAAGTGTTTGGGTGTTTTTTTTACATGTATTTACAATTGCCTGAAAAATGTTTTTCAGATCATCCATAACACATTTTTCTTTGTGTTTCTCCAGTTTTGTGCACATGCATTAAAAAAAAAAAGAAGCATAATTTCTTTTGTCTTTGTTTGAGCTTCATTGCTCGCTTAATCACTTTCCTCATCATATTTACAGACTACTCCACCTCTGCCTGAGGGGCAGCTCTCTCAGTCAGCCCTGACCTACTTTGGTCATCATCTGTTAATACTGCAGTTTCAACTTAACCCACTAATAAAACAGGAACTTTTGATCAAAGAGATGCACTGTAGCTCACTGAGTTCCTTTTATACTTGAATAAGCTTTCTCAAATTAAATCTGTGACTTGACATTTTAGTGGCCTTATCCATTATTTGATTCAAATTGAATTTGCTGAAGCATAGAGCTCGAAGAACAAAACATGTATATCTACCCAATTACTTACCATCTGGACTCTATGTGCCTATCTTAGTTATGTGAAATAGGATGATATGATCAGCTCCACTGCAGTCAAGGGTTGCACTAAGCTATCTTAATTAAAGTGGCCTTAAATCTCTGTGTTTGTGTTGACACCTCTCAGGTAGGAGCAGTTTAAGTGCAGCTGTTACACGCATTCTGAATAGTGCATGCATTTGTATGTGCTGGTAGTGACAGAGGTAACTCACTTGTTCTAAAGAGGCGGCTGTAGTATGGTGGTCCCAACTGCTCTCGGCTCGTGCTGTGCACTCTGAGCTGGTACGGTGACCCCGGACTGAGGTTGCTGAGGTTTATGAGATGAACTTGAGCAGTGAGGGAGTACCAGTCACACAGATAGTTGCCCAAACCCTTGCAAACAGTATCCCAGTCTCCAGGACACGCACACACTTTTACGCCATCCATCACACCCAGTTGTGGATGCTGGATGTACAGTTGTGCATAGTTTGTACCCACCGAGACAGGCACTGCTACCTGCACTGGCATAGGAGCTATATACACAAAGGCAAACAAAAAGAGTCAAAGACAGATAGTGGAGTATCTTAGATAATAAAAAATTGCAATACATCTATTTGGACACTTTTATTATTTCTCTTACCTGTGGTGTGTATGACGCTGGACCTCTTGCTCCTGTCATTTCCCTTCAGAGCAACAACTCCAACTTCATACGTCTGACCAGGAGTAAATGTGCCCAAATTAAAACACATGAATCCATTTATCAAGTGTCCATATGCACTGGAGCGGTTTAGCCACAACAAAGGAGCAGTAGGATTGTCAAGAGGTTGGGATGTGATAAAGTAACCGTCTGGAGGATCGCTGGGTGGTTGGGTGCCACAGACAGTCAGATTTCTGCTCCTAGTGCTTATCACTACCAGACCACTGAGAGCCTTCACCGCTAAGAAGTACAAACCAGCATTATTTGAAAGTCAGAGGTTAAAAAGCTACATGATTACTTATGCATACCTGCACATAACCATTTCATTTAATATTGTACTGAAAAAAAATCTATACTGCCCATATTATTTAGGAGAGCATTGCAAAGCAGTCAGAAACACATCTATGAAATCATATTTGCCAACAGGATCATCAGTGAATACTGATGAGTAGATGTAAACACATGCAAAAAATTAATAACCTCTCAAGTAATGTTGGAATGGCACTAAAAATCAAACTGAAACTAGCCCACTTGGATGTGAAGCTATTTAGCTGCTTAATAAGATGCATATTTTGAGAAGGCAATAGTCTGCGTTCATGCCATCTTCACTTGTGACACTTTGCGCCTTTTATTCTGGTGAAATGAATCACACTGGCATCACAATACTGTCTTCCACTTCACAGCAATGCTTAAGTGCACTGGACAGACTTAAAGGTTGCTTACATGAGCAACTAATGTGTAGAATAACTTCAATTTTCTGTAAAGTTTCCATTTGCATTTACCTTATCTTGTCAGTATTTGCAGAGATTTCAAATAAGCCATGCGATTGTTAAAAAGTACAAGATAATTCCTAGAATATAATTTAAAAATAGGTAGAGCATAGCACCAGACAGTACTTACTGGACAACAAGCTTTTAGAAATTGTTCATGAATCCAACATTTACATGCTTACCAGTTTTTACAGTTAGAGTTGCCTGTCCACAGCTCCCTATCCCATGCTCGGTAACTGTGTATACTTCAATCCTGTATTTCCTGTGAGATTCCAGCCCTCCAATTACTGCAGTATAGGACCTCAACCCAGATGACCTGGAGATGTTTGCCATGCCAACTACACCATCCTGTTTCAAAGACATGTCTTCATATAGTACAACAAAAGTCCAACCAGCCACAAATGACACATCTGGCAGCATCCAATGAACGCTAATGTGACTGGCTGTAATGGGACCAACAGTGATATTTTGAGCAGGATGAGGTCCTGTAAGAAAGGCAGTGTAAATATTAAAAGTCAGCCTCTATTAATATAATGTCCTTTGAATTGTGTAAGTGGTTATCAATACACTCACTAGTATATGCAATTTGTGTTTGTCCCAAGCTCCAAGCGAAGCCAGGAGGGTGAGACGCTTGAAGGGTGAAGGAGTAGATGCTTCCTGGAGATAAACCTGCTAAAGTTACGCCTCTAGAAGAGATCGAAATGGGGACCCTTACAATTTTTTTAGGCGTGCTCTGGTTCTTTGTGCCCATTTGGTCCTCTTGCTTCCTTTCTTCTTCACTTGGATCCCACTCTCCGTATTCTTCCTCTTGGTACTGCAGGAATACCTCAAATGATGAAAGAGCAGGTGAGTTACAGAGTGAGAGATCACTCCAACGAAGCTCTACCAGGTCCTCTGTCACCTGAACCAGGTCGAATGAGAATGAGGCAGGAACTAAACGTGCTGTAAAGAAGGAAAAAGCAATATCTTAGCACCCTGAAAAGATAAATAAGTGGCAGAAGTGCTCACAAATTGCATGGTTTGAATCTGTAAGTGCTGTGCAATATCACAAACGAAATGTGGTGATACTCCCAAATTATATATTGCATATGACTTATACATTACAACTACTGTTAAATATTATATGCTGGCTAATAAACAGCTCGTGCACAAGTTATTTACTTTGATATTGGCAGATAAAGGGTAAGGGGATGTTACAGAAGAATGGAGTGAGAAAGAATCCCGGCCCCGTGGCATTCCTCTGGAAAGCGAAGCAGTCCGTCTGGTTGGCTGGTAGCAGAGTCTTCATAGTGTTTGTTCGGTTATATGATGAGCCATCAGACCAGAGAGGTCGGCCCTCTTCCTGTAGGGCAAGAAAGAGGCAGACATCACGAGTCGAATGCCATTTAAGTATGAAAAACAAACTTTCCCTCTGAAGGTTACGTGCTGCGGTGAAGCATTGTCAAAGTGAACAGCGTTTTGTGAAAAACCTCCCCTTGCGATATCCAGCGCTTCAGCGATAGCTTGCAGAGTTTTTCTAACTAAATTATTTTAACAAAACTTTAGAAAAATCCTACCAGGAATATTTTTGAACAGTTTGGACCTCCCTTGTTAGGCATATTTTGCTTTTTGTCATAAAAAAATATTCATAATTACCTAAATGCAAAACCTGTTTTTTTCCTCACAAGGTTTGTGTTTGATTTCAAGTGTGAAAAACTTTCATGCAAAGAAATTGTATTTATGCAGAAAAAAAAGTTTAAATATAATGTCATGCAGCACACGTTCCACAACCACCTAACCCTGGAGGATATTTAAGTGCATGTTTTTCAATATATTTAATCAAAATGTTGTTTTGTTTTTAGAAAATCCTCTCTAAAGTACTAAGTGCTCAGTTATTCATGACAAAAATGAAAAATTAAAGTCATTATAAATGCTGCTTTTTAGAATTAAAGTGATTTAAAATATGTTCGTGCATACCTGCTGGTCATTAAGTCCCGTCCATAGCAGCAGCAAGTTGTTCTGGGACAGGAGGTAAGAAGATATAAAAAACAGATCTTCCAGGCTCTTCAGGTTAGCCAGATGACTTCCTGCTGCAAGGTCTGAACATCTGTGCAGTGCATCACTCCAGGTCAACCCTGTTCTTCTCACAATGTAGCAGCTTCCCCCAATGGCAATCCAGCCAGGTGGGCACTGAGCTGGAGAAACATATTACAATCAGCTTACAGTACAAATTCCTGACTGCAGTCACTTAAAGGTTAATAATTGAGCTGTGGTCATGCGATCACAGGATTACTAATGTTCACAATACCTGTTTCCAGACGAATTCTGAGTCTCTGCTTCAAGGTCATATTAAACTGTTTGAGGTATGTAGTCACTGTGACTTTGGCCTTGAAGCGTGTGCCCGGCTGCAAACCTTTCATTGTATACTGGGATTTTACTTCTGAAGAGTTTATGTTGAAGATGTGCACGACAGTTTCTGTGTGTGTGTTGTACAGGCTTATGGAGGACAGGGTCTGCAGCCTGTGAAGTTTCCATGTCAGAAGGGCGGTGGTGGTTGTGCTGTATACATTAAAGGAGGACGTGGACACTGGAACTGTTGAGACACAAAAAGGGGATGAGGTGTTAACGTTATTAAACATGATAGAAATACAACATGTGGTGTTTGGATTCAGACTTCACAGACACTCACGGAAGTGAAAGGTCTTTGTCTCGAGCACCGCATCACACCTGCTGGCTCTCAGCGTGATGTTATACCCCTTCTGATCCTCAACCATTCTCAATAATATCCTGCAGTGATGGGAGCATGCTGAGTTATTGAAGCTCTTCACATATACCTGCAAAGATGTGACAGAAAGTGAGAACAGAGTAAACTTTATAAAAACGAACAAAACTTAATAAGACTTTCACAGCTTTTTTTCACCATTACTAATGTTCTTACCAGATGGTTACTTGCAGGTCTGCAGGTGACCCTGTAGCTGTCTGGATCTTGACTAAAGGGCTGAAAAAGAACTTCAACCTCAACAGTGTTTGAATGTTTTTCACAGGTTAGCAAGACCACCTGTGGAAAGAGAAAGGGATTAAATGTCTGCTGAATAATTGAATGCGCCCCAAATCGCTATGTAATATTTAAATCTTACTGATACAGGAAAATAACTGAGCCTAAAAGACCCAGAACGCAGTTTTACCTTATTTACAGATAACTGCTACGTGCAGGGTTACCTTACCTGACATAAACTTGCTAGTAGCCACAGGCGCTGTGTTTGACCCATTGGGAATCTCAATCCATCTCATTTAGCACACCTTCCAGGAGTGTCACTGATCCACATGGGTACATGCAGTCACTTCCACGCCCAGACACAACAGATCCTTCCTCTCGTCAGCCATTGGTCGCACAAAAAGAAAATCCAAGCCAGCTGTGCGTAAACATCAGTTGTGGAAAGTCCCAAACTATTTTGGTCGCTGACGTAAAACTGAAGAACAAGAAAAGTGAACGGGTTGAAACTTTTTCATTTTTTTTCGTGAAACCTTTCAGCTTTTACTTAGTTCAGTTACAGCTGCCTCGACGTGTTAATGCCTGGGGGGAGTCTCTTAGTTTTACTTCACATTTACGCAGAGCCAAGACTTTGAATTTAGCGCGCACTCGAAGCCAAAGTTCCCTCGAGAAGCAAGCCTCAAGTGAAGAAGGAGGCAGTCTTCCTGGGTTTGTAGGAGGAGAGAGAGATTGCGTGTGCATTAGTTCAACCCAATTTGTTCTGCCTCTTTGTCGGGATAAGAGCACTTTACCATGACAACCATGGGCACACGGCCACTCCAGTGCTGGGCTCCTGAGGAGGGGGATAAGTAGAGAGAGATGGACATGTGGGGCATACTGAGGGGAAAAGATGTGGTGGGGTTTTATGAGCAATTGAGATGTCCTCACTGGGCAAAGCCGCCCGCCATGCTTCACACCTCTAGAGTAACGGTCAACCACTCGGTTAGAGCAGACAGTTCATGACTGTTTTCACGACTTTATTTAACCTCTAAAATAAGCATGTGCTGCAAATTGCTCCGAGCATTGCAGTGGTAAGAATGGTTTGGCTCTGAGGTGGGGTGTGGTGGGAGCGCTGGCCCATGTGGAATGACAGGAATGTGAAAGGGAGAAGTGATTGACAGGCAAAGAGCTGACTTTACTAAGGGCGTCTGTTGTCAAGAGGTGGCTCCCACTCAGCAATAACCTCTGAAAAGTGAGACATAAATATGTGTCAGCACTATTAATGCTGAACCAGAATGAGTATGTGTGTAATAAAGGTTTAATGAAAGAGAAAGTGGAGGGAGTATAAAAACATCGCAGGTCATGAGGACACAGTTTTAGACAACAGCACTGTTAAATCTTTTATTAAACTACTGTAAAAACTAAAAGGAAGACAAAATAACATTTGAGAAAGAAATTCAACTTTTCTAAGACAACAAAGCATAAAGGCTAAATGAATCTTATAAGACAAACCAAAATTCATATACAGTGTTTAAACACAACTGCTATTTAAAAACGCAACAATGTGTTCATATACTGTAGGATCAAAAGCTTAGGGTACCATCAGCTGAAAGCACTAGAAGCTGAATGGGTTGGCACTGCAGGACTTACAGAAAATAAGGCTAAAGTGCGAGAAAACTATCTGGAAAACAATCCGCCTCTTAAATCGGTTATTCTCATATCTTTTAGTTACAACTATGACTCAAAGTCAGTGTTGTAAAGTGTATTAAGACAACGACAACAAAAAAAAAGACATGGCTGGTTTTCATGTTTGTCCATTAGTAAAACAATATTCAGATATCCCCCTACCCCACCCTGTTATTTAGACATTCTCTTCACTTGTCTTGCTCTCATTCAGCTGTTTTTAGTTCCACTGGCACGAACAGTCCAGAGGCTCTTGGAAGTTGTACTCCACGACTGTGGCATTGCGAGAGCAGTAGAGTGCGACGGAGCGGGTCTGCAGTCCACTCTCACGGCAGCATTTACAGAATCTGGCGTGACTGTTGATGTTAAAGTTGAATATGGTGGCTGATGGACATTTCCCGTCGCAGGAATATACTGTAACCTGCCAAATGAAAAACATATATTTACTAAACAAAACACAACCACAACTACTAAATGTGTTTAAAATTCTGCTTTCACAGACTCCTCATTTTCACAAGTGAATGTCTCTTTTCTCTCTCACCGGTGCATTGCTCCTGCAATCATCTTTTCTAATGGTAGTCCGGATGGCCACCCGCTTACATGTCTTGCCGTCCTCTTTACCTGCAGAGATTTTCACACAGACTAACACTCAGGAAGAAATATAGGATCCTCAGAGTAATCATAGATCCTTAACACACCAGATATTTTTAGAGAAGCCTATATACACCAAACTGATGTTTGGTGTTTGGCACACAGTAATGATAATATGCTCACTTTCAAATGCACTTTAATCATTACACTACAGAGACTTCACATACACACTGAAATGCCTATTCACTTTGGCTCTTTGTTGCTGAGCAGTAGGCGCTTACTTTGATTGACAGCTGGGTGATGGGTGGGGGTGTGGGATACAGGTCCCCCAGCACAGTTCCACTGAATGGCTACTGACCTAAATTTAACCTTACTTTTAAACCAATCAAAGTTTCAAAGAATTCTGTGTGGGCCTGAAATTCATGAAAAAAACAGAAGTGCTTCTTCTAAACATTTGTGTGTGCATTACTGAAGCTTATATTATTTCACAAGAAGTGCAATTTTTATTTTATTAAGGTCTTTCTGTTACAAATAACCTAAAATGCTTTGCAGGTTATATTGTGTTTTAAGGATCTGACCAAAAGTGGAGAGAGGAAATGAAACGATAAGACACACAGACACTGAAAAAGACATAAAAAACCGCATTTACACCGTACACATTCAGAATTTGAAAACACAAGGGAATGAGTCACTGAGAGCAAGGATGCCAAAGAAGTCGGAATAGTGCAAGATGGTGGTACCTGTGTCACAGTTTGTACTACCAGTAGGCGTTACAGGATTAACGGTAAATGGTAAAACACCCACTCCAGAACCTGGAAACATCGTTGGCACCGCAGCCGTCCGGTTCAAAGAACGTCAGGAGAACACAAGGTCATGTTTTGTTCAGAAAGCACAGTTTAATGTCACACACAAACACACAGCGGATGGAATCATTGCGGCCTGCATGCACATGGATGTCGCATCTTTTTTGGGTCACTCCGGGCAGCCAGCCAAGGAACGCAGTCATTTGATGTACTACAAAGCTCAGCAGGGCGAATGCTAACCCCTGCACCATCTCACATCTTCAGCGGTAAAACGCTCACTGTGAACACCTCAACTGGCCAAACAGCAAGAACAACTGCTTAAGCAGGCAAGCGGGCAAGGCTGCAACGCTGAATCCAAAGAGAGAGGAAATCTCACCACTGTATGTTTATTACAAATTTCATCCACATAGCTCAGAAGATACTTTAACTCAAACTTTTTCCAAACATCAAGATAGTTCAGTTATGTTCACCCTTAAAGTACAGTTTCAGGAGGTTGTGAGTGTAGTGTAATATATCCCTTTGAATGTATTGGTTAGTTAATTACTTGAGGTTTTCAGCAAGTATTTCTTCAGTTTATGCTGTGGTAGCTCTTAAATATGTCAACAGAAGGTTTTGGGGACACCAGGGAAAGCAAGGGACTGTGAAATGTACTCATAGGCCAACAGGCTTTATGTTCACCGTCTACAAAAGGCCACACCCCCAACCAGTCAGCCAATAAGCCCATCCACTGCCAAGCAACAAGGCGCTCACCCCTCTAATTGACTGCTCAAAGCGACACCAGAAGCCCTGAATAAATTTAAAGACTCACATGTCCTGCAACAGCCATCCACATAGCTCTGAACAACACCGCCATTCTGCAAAGAAGATAGGAAAGAAATACTAAAAGTTTAATATATAAGAAAAAATATCAAACTGAGCAACTTTAGATAAAAAATTAGGCATCGTTAAACTCATACTTAGATATAGATTATAAGTAGCGGTCCTAACCTGAATACATTCTGTATCATTGAAAGGTGGGCAAACCACCCCAGAGGCAAGTATCACCGCTCCCACTGCAGTTTCCATGCAGTCGTAACGTGTGCAGTTCTCCACCCAGGAACTCCCTGCCTGCACACACAGTCAGAATTAGCACTGTTAAAGATTTTGCTTTAATTGCACTTGGATGTGGATCTGTTCATTCTTACAGTGAAAAGCTCCGTTGTCCCGTTTTCATTAGTGAAAGTACAGGAGATATTTTTACAGGAACCACAGCACACCTGAGGGTCTGTAGATGGTACATACACCTGATGCTGAAAAGTTAAAGGAAAGGAGGACCAACAGAAAAAAGAATATAACAGGATGAGATGTGGCGCAAATGCCTCAGTTGAGATAAAACTTCAGGATTTTGCTCACATTTAAATACACTGAATACAGAGACAGTAGTCAAATGAAAATCTTGGTAATCTCCTCTTCAACCAAACTATAAATTGGAGATTGGGAGGGAAAGGAAAGCCTAACTCAAATAAAATATAGCTGTGATATGCAAACTGCTGAAAAGTTTTCACATAACTTCTTTTGCCATCTGTTTTAACTCTATTAGGCCACACATGAGATGCTATTAATTACTTTGGAGCTGACTCTTAGTAAAAGTTCAGTAAATGTAAAGGTTAATTATGGTAGCAATCAACTTCTGGTTTCAGTGAGTTCCCAGCTGAGAGAATAAGGGGCTATTTTTCACAGAGAGTCTGTTACTACCACTGTCAAATCAATACTTACAGGCTTTTCATGTAGTGCTTTTCTCCTTATGAAACTAACACAGGAAATTGCCTGATCAACGATTGATTGGATAAGAGAATATTGACCAATCAAGTGACCAGTCAAACCTGAGATTAAAGCTCCATTGGATACATACTGGTCCACATTTTTGGGAGCAGTTGACAGAGGTGATTTCCATGGCATAATAACCCGAGTCTGGATCTTTATGATGCAGGCACTGGACAGTGTAGCACAGTTCTCCCTCAAAGTACTGAACCAGAGACTGGCCTGGGCCCAGCACTGTCACCCCTTGGAAAAGACACACCTCTGCCTTCTCTGCACACACACAAACATAGAAGAAAAGATTACGCCGCAGGCAAAAAGGTAACTATTAAAGCTGCTGAGCATTTTGGAAATAAAGTAGTGTTAAACAGAAAGGATTTCTGCAGAGACTCTGTTGTCACACTATTATCAGGTGTCTGTGTGCTTTCAGTCACGTTACACATACGGCATGTACGCTGAGGACAGCCACAGTTGGTGTTGCTGTCTGGAACCTCCATCAGCACCTCCCCCTGAGAAAAAAACAGATTGCTGACTTAACTGAATTTGCTCACTTTTTCCTCTTCCTTGCAGAAAAACCCGATTAGACAGTGACTTCTGATTCAGCTTTTTGCTGACTTACCACCTGACAGATGGGGAAAGAACTGTCCTCACATTGGCATTCTGGACGTGAAAGAAAAAAGTTGAAGAGGAAGGTAATGTGAGGTTTACGCAAAGGGCATGACAGGCTTAGCAACTTCTGAGTTTACTGCAGTCATCAACACAGCAGTGAATTGACAAGTAATTATTTGGATGAGTGTGCATACGCGGGTGTGCATGTGAATGAATATGTGTGTGTTGTCGATTGTGTACCACAGTGATGCTGGGGGCAGCAATGCCCGGGAATGGCAGTTTGGACAAGAGAGAGACCAGGTGCACAGCTCACAGATGATTCAGGGCACAGATTGACATCACAGACTGCAATAAAAGGAACAAAATATGAATATTACTTGAATGTTAGACAAAAACATACACACACATACACACATGAGCCTGCTCATGTAGTTTACCACAGTGGTACTGTGGACAGCAGCTGCTGGTGGTGTTCAGATCCACAGCCAGAATTTCTCCGTTCGAGCAAGTTGGAATGGGCTCGATACATGACTCACACACTGCTCAGAGAGAAAACAAACAAGAACATTCACAGATTTACTGCCGTAATTAAAGGGACCTCAAACCAGGCAGGCCTGTACACAGCAATTTAAACTCACCACACAGGTAAGAGTAGCAGCAGGACTTTTGCCCCCTGACCTCGACTAGAAACTGATCTTCCCTGCACTCTGGGGTAGACACAGGAGGGCACGCCATGGGGTCACACTCTGAGGAAGACCATTTAGTGAATGAAACTGTTTAATCCAAATGTTATATCTGACAGAAAGTTTATAAAATGTAATGATGAAAGTTTGTTCTTACCACAGCGGTACTCTGGACAGCAGGAAAGAGCGCTGTAACCGATCACTAGCCTGTTCCCATTATCACAAGGTGGAGCTTCACTATCACAGATGGTCATGTTGCAGTCTAACAAGTAGTGAAGGATTGCTCATTTAATGGGTATTACTTTATACTAATGAAAATGATTTTTGGTCTCTGAAATTGGTGTAAATTATGGTGGTATACTTTGCGAACTATTTGAGGACACACTTTTATTAAGCTAAACATCTGGTGAAACATCATCAATGTCGTATCTCACTATAATAATATGCAAAATCTCTGTCTATGTGTTTGTTTGTTCCTTTGTCCACAAAGTCCTCATAAAACATATGAAGTTGAGCAACCAGATTTGGCTCAGAGGTGGATTTTAGGCCTCTGGATTGTTTTTTTATATCAGATATTATGATGTTGTCATATAAAAATGATACATTTTTATTTGTTTATTTATTTATTTTTATTTCTGCACTTCTAACACCTTATTAAACACATCATTGAATTTCCATTTAACAACAATAACAGGTTCAAAAGGAGAATTATGCATGATATGCTATGATGCCATCTCGTTGCCTGGCAACCCTCTAGGCTAAATTTACCGGTACCTGCTTTAGCCTTTCATAATACTTTATGCACCTACTGTTGTAGGTGCATAAAGTATTATGAAAGCATGCTATCCTATCAACAATAATAACTCATTTATATCCACAAAAAGCTTAATTATACGCCTAGCAACCACGTAGCAACTGATAATATTGCCCCATTTTATCATTTATAAAACATCTCCCACAACTAGTTTTTTACTTTTCTCAATGTGATTAAGTATATCTGCTAGCCAACAGTACAACCAGACAAAGCAATACTGTAGCATGGTCATGTACTAGTTAGTTACTAGTAAAAAAGAAAAAGGTAAAACCTAAAGATGAATCAAAGATAAAAGATAAACGGGGACAGTTGCAACTCACCACAGATCTTCTTTGGGCAGCAGGCTCCTTCTTCCAGCACATCCAGCACATACTCTCCCTCTCTCTCACACAGTGGAGTAGGCACGGCGCTGCAGTCTGGTTCCACAGCCACCACAGAGCCATTTTCCATACACTTGTAGAGACAGCAGCTCCGAGCAGAGCCATTCCACACCTCGCCTGGGGCCCGGGGGTTACCCTCATTATCTGTGCACACTGGATACAGCAGAACCAAACAAAAACAATAACAAACTTACGCAGCATCTTAGACATTGCAGTGTTCATCACAAGGGCAAGTAATAACTCACCACAACGGTCCTCGGTTACACAGTAAGGTGAATCAGCACGGTGCAGGATAGTTCCACTGCGGCACACACACTCTTCTCTGATGAAGGAACAGGTAGTCTCCTCGTAGTAATCTCTGTTTAGACAAGTGCGGCTGGTGCAAGTGCTCACACATGGCTGATACTCCTTACCAGGGGGACACCGGAGTGCTGCAAGATTACAATGCATGAGAAAACAAAAACCATGAATGAGTTCATCTGAATGAGTATGTCATTTTTTATGCTGTGTCTCCTTACGGCAGAAGTTGTGTCGTCTCCAGTTGATGCAGACTTGATGTGTGTAGCAGACCGCCACGTAGGCTGCCAAGAAGTCACACTGGTGGTCCTTGTAATGAAGGTCACCTGCCCAAATGATGTCACAGAACTGCTCCGGAGGCACCTGAAAAAAACACAAGCAGGGCATGAAAGGGTGAGTGGGTTTTTAATCAACAAACCACATATCGTGTCACGGCACTGGGTCTGTTGACCCAGTGTTTGGGTTTTTGGTTTAACTTATACTCCTTGAATGGTGGTTTTCTGTTTGTATTGTATTTATAGTTCTTAGTTTTGGGTTTCTGTTCTGTTTCTGTGCCTCCTCTGTGTTCTTGGTGAAGGTTTAATTCTGTTCTCCGTATGTTGTATGTTTAGTATTAGTTATCTGTCTTTATGTCTTCCCTGTGTCCCATGTCTTGTTACTTTTGTCTCTGTTCTTCATGTTCCCTCTGTTCCAGAGTCTGTCATGTTTCCACGTCTGTGTAGTCTGCGTCTTTGGCTCGTGCTTCCTGTTTTACTTTGACAGTCTATGTCCTATGTCAGTGTATTCTTCGTTGTTTCTGTTGTCTCATTATGTCACATTAGCTCCAGCTGTACTTCCCTCCTGTTTTCCATTCCCTCGTTACTCCCTGGTGTATTTAAGCCCTGTGTTTTCCTCTGTTGGTTGTCACGTTGTACTCGTACCCTCACAATGCTGTGTGCGGTCTCAGTGCTCCCAGTTTCCTCGTTTTTTCAGTTCCTTGTTTCCATGTTCAGGGTTTTGGTTGGTTTTCATGAGTTTATTTAATGGAGTGTTTTTCCCAGCAATAAAGCTGCCGTTTTAAGTTATGTTTCCATGTTCCAGTCCTGCATTTGTGTCTTCCCTTTTGCCTGCCACAGCACACACCATGGCATATCCTCACATTTGGTATTTTTGCATGATGAATACTTGAAATAACAAAGCTTTTTCAAAATTGCCTTAGCTTTTCCTTTTGACCAGCAAATCAGTTAAATGGACTGGTTCTTACATAGCACTTTTCTACTCCTCATTCAAAGCACAAGAAGTCTCATTCAGCCATTCATACAAGCAGCTTTTTCTAAGTCTAAGTGCTTTCACACTCCAGTGACCGTATCAGAAGCAACTTCAGGTTCACTATCTTGCCAAAAGACACTTTGGGATGCTGACTTGAGCAACCAGGGATCGAACAACCATCTTTCCAATTAGTAGATGACCTGCTCTGCTTCCTGGGCCACTGCAACCCCATTTACTCTCCTGCTACCGTTTTTAATGCAAAATACAAATGACAAAGTAACTTAGCACATTCACTACAATCAAGGTTTTGAAAGCACTGCTGGGTACCTTGCCGTGGCATGGTGTGAAAGCGTTTTGGTAAAGCATAGAGAGACAGGTGGAGCAGTCGCCAGTGGTGCAGTTGTCTCCGACCCTGCGTGTGTGTTCGGTCTCATCGGTGGTGTGGACTCTCCATGCCTGTAGGAAGATCATCATGTCTCCCAACTCTCTCACCACTGTGCCATTGGGCAGTTTCAGGTCATCTTCTGGGTTCCCATCGCAGCAACCTGGCATAGTGGACAGACAGGTTTGTGTGTGTATGTATGTGTGTGTGTGTACAGCAAATGAGCAATAAAAATGTCAAGTGACATGGTGTCTGCCTAATTAAACCAAATAGCTCTCGACATCTCAAATTGTCATATCCCATAATGATTCAAGTCAAAGTGATGCTGCAGTTTAGACATTAAACCTTAAAGGGCCTAAAGATGGCACTTAGATAAAAGAGGCTGATGTTGGTGCTGATGTAGTCAAAGCCAGTGGGTATGTGTGTGTATGGGTGCATGTATATGACAGCTCACCACACAGGCCTCGAGTGGGCACAGATGTATTATTAGGAGCAATATACTGTAGCACCATAATGCCCGTGCTATGATACCACTGTATACTGATCCCGCCAGGTGTGTGGATAAGGTACATGCTTCCTGTATCTTCCACATAAAGGGACTGACGTGAGAACGGAAGTCTAGCAGGTCTGTAATTTACTGTAACCTAGAGACCAATATAAAGAATGCAAGCATATTATTTATGTAGGCTAAATTGAATATGTCTTGGGATTAAAGCTGGTAAAAATAATCACCTTCCGATCGAGTCGGTTGATTATAATTCTGTAGAAAGAGGTAGTAATGTTCAGCTTCTTAAAACAAAGTCCAGATGTTCCACCTGTAGGGCTCTGCAGGAAACATTAAAGAGTAGTCATAATGAGATAATAATACAACAGCTTTGATGCAAGTATAACTGCAGGGAATAACACGGAAGGATTGAAGCTGTACTCACAGTTCGCCTGATGGAATTCACACTCTGAAAAAACATCAATGTAAGCCATTAACATCTGCTTTTTAGTATATTAGACTTAATTGCATTTACTTTATATAATACCTGACTAGTTGGACATTTCTCCACAGTGCCAATAATAGTCTCTCTGGGCAGGTTAACCAAGATGTAGGAGCCATTGTCGTACAAGGCTACATTATTACCATCAAATGTGATCACACGCAGGTCTGACATTACAGTGCAGCGACCTGTGAAAGCCAAACAGATTATCAAGGCAAAAGAAAACTTTCATACCATTTCATACCAAGTTATTTTAGTGCATATAGCTAAACTTACACGGGCACTGCCACTGCGGACAGCAGGGGTCTGTGTTAACCAGGATAGGCATGCCCAGCAGACTGCACTGAGGTTGGGTGGTGTTGTAGCGACAGTGAAGAGAAGAGTTGTGAAGCAGCAGCTCTCCATTAAAACAGATCAGCTCAACACACTCATCAATGCGATAGGAGTATGGGGGCTGTGGATGCAAATATACACGTTCTGTTTTTAAAAGCTGAGCTGGCTTAAACTTCATTATCATCATCAAACACACATATTTAATTTCTACATAATGATTTATCTGTTTTTTTCTTTCAGCCCAACCCATTATTGCTTAGAATACAGTATGTGTATGCAGATTAACTATGCATTATTCTGCATAGCAGGCAGCACTGTGGCACGGTGGTTAGCACTGTTGCTGCACAGCAAGAAGGTCCTGAGTTCAATTCCACCATCAGGCCAGGGTCTTTCTGTGTGGAGTTTGCATGTTCTCCCTGGGTGCTCTGGCTTCCTCCCACAGTCCAAACACATGCACTTACCATGTCTTAGGTTAATCGATCAATCAAAATTGCTCATAGGTGTGAGTGCAAATGGTTGTCTGTCCCTGTGTGTTAGCCCTGCGACCCTGAAAAGGGCAGAAGTGAATGGATATTCTGCATAGCAATAATGATGAAAATGAGTTTTCAGTAGTCATTTAAAAGAAATAATGGAGTGAGCCGACCTGACCGACTAAGGAAGACTGTTCCACGGTTGGGCCCAACAACCTCAAAAGCACGATCACCTCCAGTTTTAAAATCAGAGCGAGGGACAGTTAGGAGGCTCTGGTTAGAGGATCAGAGAGGCCGGCAGCTCTGATAAGGTTTCAGAAGCTCTGCTATATAAGCAGGGACTTGTCCATGTAAAGCTTTATATGCTAGTAATAGAATTTTAAAGCTGATTCTGAGTTTCACTGGAAGTCAGTGAAAGGCCACAAGAATAGGTGTGATATGTGACTGGCGCACAGGTAATGCAGAAATGTTGCCTTTATGGTACGAGGACCGATCAAGCCTTTCTGAAATGAAAGGTTCATTGTGAGTCAGAAAGCATTTCTTAATTTTTAATAGTAGGTATAATTTGTTTTGACACATAACGGTATGAACAGTAGCACCAGCATCAATTTAAAAAAACATGACTGAATTTCACTGGTTTTAGAGAGCTAGTATTGTGGATGCTTACTGTGACACTTATTTTACTACAAGATTACAACAGAACTATTAAAAATGTCAACAGCAACCTGGACTCTTCGTAGCATTTTGCTTATATTTTAAAGCCTATTCATACTAAATAATCATGTAAGGAATCTATGATGATTTAAGTAATCATTTAAATTGCTACCATGATTTCTAAAGTTTAACAAGGATGGGTATTTTCATGCACGTTTATATTTGTGCATATATATAATAAACTAAAACAAAAGACTTACTGTACAGGGAATAGTGGGCAAAAGGAAAGGGTGAGTGGTTGATGTTTCCTCTGTTACAGGAATGGTTGCAGGACTTGTGACTATCTCTGTAGTTACAGGCTCAGTGGTGGGCTCGATGGTTGTAGGAGGGGGTGCTGTAGTTGTTGGAGTGTCTGTTGGAGTGGTGGCCTCTGTGGCGACAGTCGTATCTGCTGGAGGAGGTTGAGGAGTGGTTGTGGATTTGGTAGTGGTTTCAGGTTCAAAAGTAGCTGAGGTGGAGGTAGTTGTAACAACTGTAGTGGGTGGTAAGGTGGGGGATGTTGGAAGAGGCGGGGATGTGGATGGTGCGGTAATGGTGGTGGAGGTAGGAATTGAGGGTGAGGTATGGGAGGGACGAGAAGTAGTGGAGGGGGCTGTAGTGGCTCCAGTGGGTACAGTGGAAGGCGTTGCAGAGGTAACTGTTGTAGTCACCGTAGTAGTTTGCGTTTGAGTGGGGGTTGTTTCAGTTGTCCTGAGAGTGGTGAGTTCTGTCGGGGTTGTGGGACTGAGAGTAGTTGAAACAATAGTGGTGGGAGTAGCAGATGGAGACGTGGATGAAGTTGGGGTGAGCAGAGTGGTGACACGCTCAGTGGCTAATGTTGTGCTGGGAGTAGTAGCAGGAGTGGTGGTGGTAGAAGTGGCAGTGGTTGTTGTGGACCTGATAGTAGTGGAGGGGGTAGTGGTGCCTCTAGTAGTGGTGGTGGTTGTAGTGGTTGTTGTCGGCCTTGTGGTGGTAGTGGTGGTGGTGGTAGTAGAAGTTGTTGTTGTAGTCGTAGGTATTGGCAGTGGTGCTGTAGTAGTCCTGTTAGACCGCGTCACATATGCAAACGGGGTTGGAGTTGGGGGAAGAGACACACCTGGAGAAGACGTTTATTATAACAGGCAAATATTTTCAATTGAAAATGATTAAAACCATCGTCATATACAGAGCAAACCAAGAAAAAATATAAACTTGGCACAAAAGAAAGGACATTTATGTCTGATTGATTATTTCTTTGTCATAATCCTGCTTCTTGGCAATAAACCTTACACTGTTGAATTGCTTGTTTATTTCCACTTAAATGGTGCCACAAAATGCATTTTTGAGTTGAGTAGCAGTGTTGAGTATGTGGGTTCAAAAACTTTGGTGTGGTTTATTTTATTGGGTGTTTGAAGTGTGAAGTAATAAGACATATTGGCAATTTAACCATTTTTTCAGTAGCATGTGGAAGAACCATATACAGCCAAGTAATGCTGCAGTTTGGTTGTTGTCTTATGGCATGGGACCAATCCAGATCAGTCAAACATGGCATGCTTGCAGTAGACACCAACTGACAGCTGTAGTACGGTCCATGTTGCTGCTCAATTCACAAATGTATTTTCCTTACAATTAAGAGAAATAAAAAGGCTTTCCAAAATATACGATTTTTTATAAGTGCTGTTACAGCTAAGCAATAACTTACCAAACATAAATCTCCTTGCTTTTTGTACTAAGTTTATTTTTTGGTATATGAGAAAACCATATCTTTTTTCTTTTCTTTTTTTTACAGCAACTTCAAATAAAAATGGCTGTACTCACAGTCCTCTGTGTAGACACATCTTCTAGTGACTTCATCAAGGACCATGTTCTTTGGACATCGTGGAAAGCAACCTTCTACACTGTAAAATACAAAACTACTTCAATACTTGCGTCGAGCACACATTATGCTGATTTTATTATTGCTTTTTAATTAGCCAAGCCTCTTACGGAGGAAGAAACTGGCAGCGTGTAGCATCTGGGTCACTGCACGTGGGGACACAAGGACTTGCACAGGACTGGTAGCGCCACTCACACATCATACGGTAAGGTATTACAAAAGTGCTCTCTGCAAGAAGAGAGGAAACATACCTTATTAGTCAGCATTTGTATGTACAGCATGCATCTATAAAAGGTATACAGTGGCTCCAAAAAGTTATTTGGACAAGTAAAAAGAGCTAAATTCATACGGAAAATATGGATTTACATCACATTACGGGCTCAGGCAAGTTCAGGTACAGCTGTCTTGATTTTTAGCTTATGAATGGTTTCTATTCATAAGATAATATTTAAGCTGAGTTGTCCTTGCTGCTTTTTATCACCTGTTTCTGATTTGATTTTGCACAGAGCCATGCAGACCAATCTGCAGCTGGTGTTCCTGTGTCTGCTTCCCTTCTCACGGATGTTTAACAATATATATTCAAAGTGTTCCTGTGTGCAAGCAAATGATGCTTGAATTTTTCTTCACATTTTAATTGATGTTCAACCAACAAGTTTCAAGGTGATTTTGAAATGTAACAAATTTATTAAGTCAGTTGCTCATCAGTTCAAACATATGCCTCTAGCAATGCAACCAATGGTGGAGTTTAGCTCATCACATTAGGAATGGGCATGGTCCACTAAGTTTAACAATCAGAACCTGTCCAGCTTGCCATTTAGAACACTGTGTTCATGCTTTCTCCCTCCTTGGGATTTATTTATTTCTTTTAATAGAAACCTTCCCGTTAAATTGTCCTAAATGCATTTTATGGTTTAAATAATAGTTTATCTAACATTTTATAGAAAAAAGAACTGGGTCATTCTGATATGTTTTTGGAGCCACTGTATATATGCGTGTGTTTCTGACCCTCCAGTGTGAAGCTGCTGCTGGCTTTGAAGCCCTGTGAGGTGTCGTATCTCTGGGCTCGTGCAGCAGTGCGTGTGAGTGTCAAAAAAACTCCAGGCTGGGCCACAAGCTCAAATGAAGTGTGACCTGGGAGAATCAGCCCCTGGTGCTGGATAAAGGTTGCTCTACGACTGAACTCCACCCCTCGACTCCACTGCTCCAACTGCAGACGGCTGCGCCCTGACACAACAAGGAAGTAGTTGGGTCTCTCTGCAGACTCCAGCGACACCATGGGAACACCTACAAATAGTCGTAATCATAATCAACGTAATTTATGCAGAAAATAAACACATATCAATGTATAATAATAATAATAATAATAACAATGCAGATGCTCACGTGATGTTCTGTCCTTCTGCAATCCTGCTGTGATCATGAAGTTGAACAGTAGACCTGGGGCAGGCAACTGCCCTGGTCTTTCTCTTACCAGGGGAAAAACAGAGCTGCTGGTACGATTCACTCCAAACATGGTGTCTTTATAGACTGCACTCACCAAGGAAAATGGGCCATCGCCTAGCTCTGTGATGTGAGAGAGCGAAAGAGGAAATGAATAATAAGATGGCAGGGAATAAGAGTAAGGTTTACAAATCTGGTAGAAGATTCTCAGTTAAACATACCTTGATTGTAGTACTCGCAATCATAGGCTGAAAGACAGTCCAGAAGAGTAAAATGTAAGATATAACAGAAGAATTATTTAACCTTGTGAAAAATGGCAAAATATTGACTGATGCAAAGAGTGACTACAGAAAATGGGTCAAAGAGGTAAGCAAAGGTCACGTCCCTGACCCACACAGCAGAAGCCTGTATTGTATTTGTCTGTCTGTGTATGTATGTACTCACGACAGACAGAAGGTGATCTCCAGTGAATTGTGACCCCCTGCTGACAGCATTTGTATGCGTATGCAGCGATGGACGTGCAGAGACACTCACAGTCTCCCCCACGGTTACAATTGCAAGTGTCTGTTAGGCAGTTCCTGTAGAACCAGGCCACATCAACCTGAAAGGGTACACACAGAAAGATATCCACACAAACAATCATGAAATGAACGAGGCCAAATCTCGCTGGGAGAAACTGAGGGAGGTCTTATTTTTCGGAGGGGGGGGAGTTGTTTTAAATAATTCAGACAGGAAAGACCGATGATATCGGGACAAAGAAATGTGGGTCAACCTCTGGTGCAGAAGGTATCAGATTAACTCTATGACAAACTATGCATCAGCAATGAGTTGGTGTGGCCAAAGGGAAGGTTAACTCTGTCTTTGACACTGGCTACTATGATGTACATAAACAGGAGCAAATAATACTTTTCTGTATTACTATAATTTTAGAAAATATAACAAGTAGAGACGTGTGCTGCAACCAGGTTGGAGCAACAAGGTTACAATTAATATTCAGATGTTAGCATTTTACTAGAATGTTATTATGAAACACATTTAATAAGCCCTTTCTGTGCCCCTGATGCATATTATTATTTCTCTTCTTGTAAAATTTTATTTTCAACAACACTAACAACAATAAATCTGTCACTTTTACCCCAGTGCTTGTCAGAGGCTAATAACAAACAGGTACATGTTTAACAGGACATGTGAATCATATTTTGTCCTTATAATTTGTAAACATCTGTCACATTATGAGCGTAGACAGAGACAGATTTCAAAGTTGTGAATGGTTATTGTTATATTCTGGAACTGATAAGGTATTGATACCACTGATTGGTATCAAACCTCCAGGAACTGCCTGCATTCTCTAATCACATGATGCCGGGCATGCTTTTGCACCGGAGGAACCCAGGACCCACTGCACCAGCGTAACGTCGGACGATATCAAGGATTTCACCTTGATATCTTATGGCAGTCAGGATGCCATTGCTTAATTCAATTCAATTCAATTTTATTTATATAGCGCTAAATCACAACAAAAGTCGCCTCAAGGCGCTTCAGTCGCCTCAAGGCGCTTAGCCTGTAGAGGTCTGTGTGTCTCTCCATGGCTATGCCTCCCCAGACCATCACTAAACCCACTACCAAACTGGTCATGCTGAATGAAGTTACAGTGAGCATAACGTTCTGCACGGCTTCTCCAGACCATTTCACATCTGTCACATGTGCTCAGGGTGAACCTGCTCACATCTGTGAAAAGCACGGGGTGCCACTGGTAGACCTGATAATTCTGGTATTCTTTGGCAAATCCCAATCAGGCTCCACAGTGCCAGGCCGTGAGCACATGGCCAACTAGACAACGTTAGGCTGTTAGGCCTAAAAGTGTTCCTTTTTTCGGAATTTTACAGAGCAGTATATTTACTTCGTATCTGTCCTAGTGATGAGGGTTTTTTTGGTTTTTGTTTGTATTTTAGTTGTTGTCTATTTTTAGAATTGTTGGTAGAAGTGGTCTCGACAGTGTTTGTGTTATGCATTCCTGTCTTATACCACGTTTATGCTTTGGTCCCTTTTGTCTCCTTGTCTCCTATTATCTCCTATATTGTTTAGTGTTGGTAAGAGCATCTGATTTCCTGTTTTCCATTGAACGTTTTTGTTTCCTCAGTGTTTTATCCGCCTTTCCTTGATTCCTTGATTGTTTTCATCCATTGTTAATTGTGTTCACCTGTGTCCCTCTAACCCCTGTTGATTAGATGTCTTTACTCTTTGGGATTGTTATTGTTTGGTTTCTACTTGCATCAGCCAATAAAATGCTCATTTTCATATAATTAGTGGTTTCATGTGTCTACATTTGGGTACTGCACACTACATCAACAGACCAGCTGTGACAGCCTTACTATTAAAGACTGAATGCCAGTTCACCAGTTAAAACTCACTGGGCCTGGATCTAGCTGTACAGAAATATTTCCAAAGTTAGCTCAGTACTGCCTTGGGATATTAATGTTTTTATTTATCCTTGCCTTAATTACTGCAAATCTAGATTTGCATCTTAAAGCATTTACTGAAAATCATTTGGTTCAGAATGAGGCAATGAGGCACATATATGATACTAAATGAGAAGAACACATTACCCTATTCTTGCTGAATTGCACAGACTGACATGCTTTATATGAATATATGCTTCATAATTTAGTTCAGTTCTGCTTTTAACATTAAAAGCATGCCATGGCATAGCAGCGTCTTGTATATCTGAACTCATCACCCTGTATTCTCCACTACGACCACTCATATCTTTTGACCGACTGCACTTAATTATCCCACCATCGAAACTGAGAACAAAGAGGAACTGTGCTTCTGACATTTTAAATCCTGCTCTGTGGGATTGCCTCCCGCTTATTATCAGGTCTGCTGTGTCTGTACCATATTTTAAAATGTATTGATTTACATTTTTATAGTCTTCTGTCTGCAAGCATGATTCTTTTTCTGTTGAGAATTCATCGTAATCTATATTTTTTGCTTTTGATCAATTAATACATTAAACTGTTGTTTCCTCAAATAAATCTGTTTTAGTGCAAAAGAATACAAACATACTTTAAATAAGTGCTAAAAAAAGTAGCAGGAATTCAGAAATATCTCAAAGGAATATACTACTAAATGATGTTCCTCTAAAGGTTGCTTCAAGGGAACGTATTTGTCTTCACTGGACAACTATGGCAAACAGAACATGACAAGAACGTGAATCAGATCAGATCAAAGAGGGCACATTAAGTTTAATAAGAAAAATGAATTTATTGCAAAGAATATAAGACAGAGAGAAATTTGTTTGAACACAGACATGTTCAAAGATTGACTTTTGCTTTATTATGATAATATCTACTGAACCTCTTAGTTAATTCTAAATGTATGTATTTTCTGAAATGTAGTTTAAGCAATGAAGTGAAATGGACTCTCCACTGGTTGATAGTGATGGCTAAAAAACTGTACATAAAAACATGGCTCCATCTACTGGTCATAAATTGAAATATAACACTATAATAAACACTAGGTGTGCCCTATTTGAATTTGAGTGGCAAGCTTGTGAATGTCTTTAAAGAGTGTGTTTACCAGGATTAGTTAAGAGTTGTTCCTATAACCCCTTATTAATCCCTATAGCTCCCTTTTTCAAATGATATAACCTTTTCATAGCTGCAGTCTCTCTGTACACAGGTTTCTGTGTTTGTGTGTGTTTATATGTGTCACTTGAATGGCACTTACAACATTGTGACAAGGTGCAAAGACATCGCTGTAGAGGAGAGCGCACTCTCTTTTGGCGTACGGCTGTCTCCCTAAGTCCCCTTCACATGGTCGCTCAAGTACATAGTCGCTTTCACACTAAAATACAGAAAACACACACACACAGAAAGCGATCAAGTGTCTGATTACTCTTAAATATCACGGTGTACTCGAGGGAGACGGGCACAGGGAGCAGGGAGGTAGAGAGGTAGTGAGTTTGAGGGTGATGGACAAAGACAGAAAGAGAAAAGAGGGCAAAAGAGGAATCAATGAAGGGGAGTAGAGGAAATGAGCTGACTCATACCTGTCCCAGGGCCCAGCTATCGCCGAATGTCTGTGCATTACTGACTTCCATGTGGCTGGAGGTGGTCATATCATTCGCTGTCACACTGTCAAAATTTCCACATAACCCACTGAGAAGACCCTGGAGCGAAAAAGCAGACAACTTGTCATATTTTTCTTATAACAACGCTTCGAATTTCAGATGTGCTACTAGTACACGCCTTCCACTGAGGTCCAGCTCTGATGTGCACAGTCGTCTTGCGGTCCCAAAGGATGGTCAGGTCCTGATTTGAGAAGTGGATGACAGTGTAGTAGCCGGCTTTCCAGAGCTCAAACTCTGACCCTCGACCAACAACAGTGGAAGGGCTCTAACACAAAATAAACCAGGTAGCGTGACATCAGCAGGATTCACTGGATTTTACTGAAATATTTCAGCTTGTTACTGTGTTTGTATTATCCATACAAGGTTGCCAGAATTGTCAGTGAAGTAGATCTTGGTAAGTCCCACGTGAATGACCAGGATTTTCATGCACACAATGCCGCTCTCATAGCAGTCTTTGTTTTGGGCAACAATGGATACCTCGGTCTCTCCTGCACTCTGATGAGAGGAGAAGGCAAAATATTACTACTGTAAGGAAAGTTGTGTTTTTTTTTAGCAAACACAACAAAATACTTTTGCTTTTTTGTCTGTTCAAAATTTTCCTCACTAAAGCCACAGCAGTCAGAAAGCAAATATCTAAACACCACGTGCTAGACTCAGATATGGAATCTCATTCTACCTGTTCAGGAAACATCATCATCCTGGACACATGAGAAGTGACAAAAAGAGGAAACAACTGTAGACTATTAAAGTACAGTTTTGACCAACTTCCCCATTCTTTTCAGGTCTGCATGGTGGCAGGCGGCCTGCGAGCTCTGAATGTCTGTTCTGCTAATTCTAATTCTATATCCCTGGGAGCGCAGGAGCCCTGGGGTTTGAAGTGAACACTGGTCTCTTTGTGTCACTACAGCTTTGCGCAGCGTCTGCTAGCATTACAGTGGTCCCAACCCACCGACACAAACACACACATACATGCCTTAATCGGCTCTAATTAAAACCCAAACTCCAAGATTAGAAACCAGCTTGGATCTTCTTTCCCAGATCCATATCAGTGTTGGCTAGGAATTGTTAAGGATGCTCCTCCTTTGCCCTTAAACGCAATCAATCACACAAACTTCTCTGGCACAGGTTAGCACAGTCTCTATCAGACAATCCCCACTGACATTCCAGTGCCAAAAATGAATCCATAAATTTGTCACTGGAAGCAAATTATATAATTTTACACCTTTATTAGTTTTTTTTTGTGCTAACTAGAAAGTTGTTATATAAATCCACACAGCCAGCCTACTCACTTTGAGCAAGTAGACCTGACAGTCAGAGTGGTAGTCGTACTCGAGGCCATCAAAGGTGTGGTAGTGCCTGTCGCTGTAAACAGTACACACAGCTGGACACGGAGAGTAGCTGCAGTTAAAATAGCCACGGTGACACACGCTAAAGGGATGGACAGGTGGGTGCATAAGAGAAGAGCAAAAACAAAGCAGAGGTGGGACAAAAGACAAACTTTCTTTTGTAACTGCTTTGAGAATCAGTTGTTTGGAGATGATTGACAACCTTATAAGGAACCTCATTATTACTTTGTAAATAATACAGAGGCAGGAAATGTGTTTACCATTTGTAGCATGGTGTTTCCACAGTTTCTCCAGGCAGGTACTCAAGTCCAAGCCAGGAACAAGGGCAATTTTCTGGATAATAACATTCCCCCTGGTGCAGCACCAGCCTTCATGGGTAAAACAAAAGTAGGTGGTACAAAGCATGCGAACACTTAAACACTCAAACCCCATATCTGTGTTTGTCTCTGTGTTGCAATTAACACTTTAGCTTTTAGGCCTGGAGATCAAATCTCTTTTTGGAAAAAACAGTGGAGAAAATACATAAACACAAGATTCAACAGTTCAAACACAAACTCAAAACAATCAGTCATCTCCCCACTAATTAAAACAGTCACAATTATTAGAAATATAAACTCTAACAGGGATTAGTGATCCTAAATTTAAGCTGTATTGAAGGTTTTTTTTCCAGTATTATGGTGACAGTACTGAAAACCAGTCTTTCCCTGGACATGAGCTTTCAGAGTACTTTGTGCTCTGGTTGCTGAATATCGGCAAAAATCTTGTAAGTGAAATTAAGACACATATATGCTGATGCCTGCAAGATGCTTCTTTTCACACAGTCCACAGTGGTGAGTGCAACCCATGCCAATGGCAAATGGTCCTGGGGTAGGTGAAAGGTGTTTTAACTACGTTAAGGTACCACTTTTTGTGTTTCAATGTAACTATCCTAACACGGGTAAAGCAGGGATTACAATTAGTATTAAAATTAACAAAAAAAAAAGTGACTGACTAACAGGTAGGAGGCCACTAAAAACAAACGAACAAATACCTATACATTCTCATGTTATTTTGAAAATAGTCACTAAGTCTTTGTATTACCCAGAAGGGCAGACACAGCCAGGTATGCATGGTGTACTGGGTGGGCACGTCAGGTTCAACATCAGGTTGCGGCAGGTTGGTGCACAGGCCACTCCTCCCCTCTGCTCAGTGCAGCTGTGGTACACTTTCCCCTCTGGACACTCCCCGACTTCTATACTATCTGGCTCTATGATGTTGATGCACAC